AAATTTCTTTACAAAATTCTTTAAAATTCCTTTCAATAACTAAAAATTAAAACTGCTTAAGAAAAAAAAAATCCATTATAATTTTCTTTAAAATTATATTAAAATATATTTTAAATTTACATATAAAAAATATATACAGAAACTTCTACGAAACATTTTTTAAAACATCTTAAAATAAAATAAATACGAAAATCACTCAATAAAACAATCAAGTCTCCAAATATAAATAACCTTTAAAGAAAACCCTTACTTAATAAAAAATTCCATCTTTATAATATACTTAAAAAAAATGTTTCCCAATTAAAGATACATTTTTCTGGCTCTGCATCTGTAGTAGTAGTATTGGCAAAGCTTCGATCCATCTGCGGCTTTGTCTGGCTCTCTGGCCTGCTTTGCCTTAACCCCTCCTTGCCCGGCTTTTTCCTCCCTACCCTCCCCGGTAACGAGTTTCATTCGCACAATTCTTCTTCTCTCATGGCTTTAAGCCCGCGGGGCAGGCACACACACACACACACAGAGAAAATAGCTGAGAAAAAATCACGGTATTTGCTCCATAAATCTCACCCAAGCCAAGAGCAAGAACCCAGGGTTAATGCCACACGGAATCCGTATCCGAATCCGAAATCTGAATCTGAAACTGCGTGAGATGTGAATCGGAGATGTGTGATCCCTAGATATTTGAGGTTTGCTGCAGATCTGCGGTCGAGGTCTCTGGCTTTCTCATGTATCTTGGCTTTAACTGCGATTAATAACTGAATCTGAATATCTGTAGAAACTTTCTCATGCTCTAATTTGGTTTTGCAAATGGTTGAATCTTTATACAAGTATTATTCATTTAAGTTGGAAATTGGAAACTCAGTGAAGGATTTATTGGATTGGAGATTCTTTGATCTTCAAGCTAATAAAACAAATCTTTTGCTGCCAATTCTTTCAAAGATTCTACACCCACTGCAGAGACTCTGAGGAAGATTGCTACAAATTTTCGGAGTTTCTAATGAGCTAAGTAGTTCCTAAACAGTTCCTCTGGAGTATCTATAGTTAAATAGTAAAAACGGTTGCCATATTTTGGGTTCTTATTGATTTAGGGACACAATTCTTGAAAAGTGGGCTCTTCTCCTGCTTGCCCCAAGACGTGGGCTCTTTTCGAAATATTCGTGAGCGTTTGATTTTTTCCTGTTTCTTCTATTTTATTTTTTTTGCAAGTAACCCACGCTAGTCTTTTTTTCTTTTCTTATTTTGATTTGGATTCGAAATCAGATTCGGATTTCTACGCGGCTCTTCACGGCTCTTCTGGGCGCAATTCTTCTGTGCCAAGCAATTGGCAATAAATCAAGGGACGCCCACACTTATGACAGGGGTTAAGAGGAGAAGTGTGCTAAGATGAGTGTGTGAAGAGTAGTGTATATAAAGAGTAGTGTGTGTGTGTGAGTGTGTGGGTCTCATTAGTTGCCGTATTTTTTGCAATTTTGTATCTGTATCTGTATCTCAGCAGCTGCCTATGCCCAAGGATCGGCTTGCCGCAATCCGCATCGAGTCTTGTTTCCCACACCGAAATGGGCAATTTTCATTTTTTTTTTTCTGTTAGTTTCCCCAATTTTTTTCCCCCAAGATATTTTCTATAAATACGCACAACTAACTTCTCTGCCGCCTTCGTTGCGGCGGCTTCACGGAAAATCAATTGAATTTTCACGCATGTTTATGGTCTGCTCATCGGTTCCATGGTACTGGTACAGTGAGAACTGGCTTAGAGGAAATATTAGTATTTATTTAAAATTCAAATAAAAGAGAATCTGAATGAGTGACTTGAAGGAAATATTTATATTTATTTTAAATCCAAATAAAAGAGATTTTTAATGATTTAAAATATGAATATTTCGTTTATTATTTTCAATAAAATTTAAGAGAGTTTTAAAAGTGTCTCATAGATATTTTAAATATTTTACTATATATTTTTATATAAGAATAATGTTTATTCGATTAATTTAAAGGGAAAACATTAAGATAATATGTATATATCTTTATCAAATTTTTACTTACATATTTCTTTCATAAACTCTATTTAGTTTAACAAAATATTAACAATTTTAATATAATAATTAATAATATTCTTAATAAATGAAACATTTGTTCAGTTCAAGATGTAAACTTATTGTTGTTTTTCACTGTGTACCTGGTGGATTTGCTAAAATTGAACAAGTGAACTGTGTTCGTTCTCATGGATCGAATCTTCGGCCGCCTCAACCCCTACGTCCTCGTCGGTTCTTAACCCCTGTCCTCCCCCCTTTTATGCTTAACCCTGCGGCAGCCTTAGAAACTGTTGGGCACTTAATGCCATACGATCGGTTCTGGCTCTCCATATGATGGATGGCCTCCCATAGCTTAGGTCAAAATAATAGTTTTAACTAAGAAATAAAATAATATTATTTAAAAAATGATAATAAATTATTAGTTAAGTTTTCGTAAAAGTTTTGAACGATTTTGTATATGATTTAGAGTTTTATCTTAACCCAATTAACAAATATATAAATTAATATATTTAAAACGTATTGTAGGAATTTATATATTTTATTTGATTTAGAAATAAAACCTATTAAATAAATTCTAAAATAATGATGCACCTTTTTAGGTTTATATTATTAAAATGTATATAATATTTTATCATAGAATAATTTATATTTATATTTTTATATATTTTTTATATTTTTATATATTTTTTTATATACATTTTTAATTTTATATATTTTAATATTTGAATAATTGAAATATTTGATATATTTTTATGACCAGCACTGTTCTTAGTTTATATTTATTACATATACACACATGTCGGCCAGCTTACATTGGGCCTTAGCAAGTGTTTTTTGCCCATTTCCTTGTCTGTTAGTTTGGCGCTCTTTTTTGCTTTTCGCATTTTGCGTTTTTGGCTTCATTTGTTTATGACGTGGAGGGGGGTGTGTGTGTGTGTCTTGGGTGTGTGTAGACATAAGGAATGGGCTTTTTGGGGCTGGGTTCTCTGTACTGAGAGATACATAGATACAAAACAAAAAAAGCATAGATACATGGGGACCAGTCGCAACAATAATAACCATAAACTGTCGACCAGCCCCAACACCACCCATCCACCCCCCAGAAAAGAAAAAAAAAAAAAAAAAAAAAAAACCACCCAGAACCCAACACCCCTTCCCCTACCCCCTCTTCGGGCGACTGTTTGGCGTCTGTTGACCTCATTTCGCCGAAACGAAACGAAAAGAAACGTTTTTTTTCTCCGTTTTTATTTTGGCGCAAAACCCGGAACACATGGTGGCAGTAAAACACTAGGGAATGGAGAAGAACATCTACAAGATCAACATGATCTACAGAATCTACAAAAGAATCTACAAGAAGATATCCCAAAGATTTAAAGAGAGAGAGCGAGTCAACGAACTGTGTCTTATCTTTTTTGTCTTATCAAAAAGCGTTCCACTTTTATCAAGTCTTATGCAAGCGTTATGAAATGATAATTAAAAATAATATTTAAATATATATAAATTTATATAAATATACATAAATACAAATCTAATTAAATTTTATAAATAAATTCGCAACTAGGGCGAATACATTTACGAGAGTCCCACTAATCAATCGATTCGTATCTCAATTTTTACCTGTATTTAAATCGAGGCAAAACGAAGGCGGCACGTCATCGCCCTGATCACGTACCCATAATATATCCCCCTTACTCACACACCTGAGTGACATTTTTCTCATTAATAAAACAAATATGGGACAATCGCTGAATGCTAACAAAGGAGCGTGAAGGGAACGAAGCGAGATGTAAATTCAAGGTTACAACGAACGGCACTGCACTTATCACTTTTTGCTATACAAATACAACAAAAAAAATATATATATATAAAAATAAAGTGAAGCGAATAATAATAATCAGTAACTATTTGTGCTCGTCCCCGTCCTTCACTGAGATTGAAAACGTCTTCTTGCATCCGGTCAGATAATGTAAATGTCTCGTTCTCCCTGTTCCGCTCAAGTGCAACGAATGGAAACGGAACAAAATAAACCGGAAGGATATTAAAGAAAAGGAAGTGTCATGGAAGTGGATTTGCGGGGAACGGAATATAATGTATGAAAACTGAATCATTGAGAATGAAATTAAAATGAAGCTTAGATTTTGAAATTAAACATGTTTGTAGCTTGACCTTTTTCTTTATTATTATTTCCTTTTTTTGGGCCATTGGCTTTTTACGATATACTTTTGTATAGATTTTTTATGGTAATTTAAAACAAGAGCCAACAATAAGCACGTTTGCTAAACAAAAACAAAAAGAAAATAAATAAAAAAAATACAAACAAAATTTCTGAGTCATTATTATTAAAGTTTAATCATTTTTTCTGCTAATAACTATTTTTTTTAAATAATGTATTTCCAAATATTCTAAATTTCCAATTTACTTATTAAGTTACGAATTTTTTGGCTCATAAATATCTTGCAATTTGTTTAAAAAAATCTAGTTTACGTATCTTATTACATTAATTTCCTTGAGAAAAAGTTTCCAAAAAAAAAAAAAGGAGTCCCTAACTGCTTACGTTCCTTTCCCAACGTTCCTGATTCTTCCCACATGACTCATGGCGACCACACACTGGCACGTGATGGAGCTTGACAGAGATAGATATATAGAGTATGGCATGGAGTTTGGGGGGGAACTGTACTGGATGACGGACATGACAATCAAAAGCTCCCATGGGCTTGGAGGGGACACCATCACGGATTCGGGGAAGCACGGATCGTGCGAGTGAACGTGTAAATGGTTTTTTGATTGCAGTGCCGGCAGTCTTTGTACCTTTATACCTCTACACCTTGGTACTTATAGGTATATATATATTCATTCATATTTTATATTATATTTCTTCACTCCCCATAATCCAAGCTTAGCCTTGGTCATCACCTAGCTTAGATATCTTTGATTACTTCCCTTAAAAAAAACCAACAAAAATTGTTTTGGGATAAATCCAAAATGTTTTTTTTTTTATATATATTTATAGAAGAACCTTTTAAATTTTGGCAACAAAGTAATGTGGCAGGAATATATATTTTAATTCATCTGCTCCAGCAAGAGGTTACCCCAATGTATGGCAACTTCCTTGAATGAGTCCCACACTGTGGCCTGTGGCTTTGATTGCAAGTCTTCTGAGACAGAGGCAGAGGCAGCTACAACATGTTTCAGTTCCAGGAGAAGGTGTTCCTTATCGATGGCAATCGATGATAGAACCTCTTGAAGGTCCTTTCCCTCGGCCTTCTGATAGATTTCCCAGCATATTTCTGCCTGGGCTTGCCTCTGCTTTGTTATAAAATCGAAAACGGCACGCAATCTCTCCAGTCCCGCATGGAACTTCTTCTCAACGGCCTTTTGCTCGCGTCTAAACTCTTGGAGTTTCTGATCCTCGGGCTTTTGATCGCTATTGATAAGCTTCTCCATAGCCTCAAAGGTCAACTGCTCTTCCGATTTCGGGCTCTTTTCAAAATTAGCAAATGACTTTTTAGGAGAAGATTCGGTTGCATCTGGATCCAGGATATTCTCAAAATACTCGATCAGCTGCTTAAGGGCCACCCAAAATGTTAACTCTGTGCGCCTCAACGACGAGGGAATATCTGTGTGATTTTCTGTAATCGATATGGCCTTCTCCTTGACCATTTTCACTTGGCGCATCAATTTCTCATCACGGAGTTTTTCGAGCTGTTGCTTTTTGTATCTAATGGGTATGGGAATCCGGGTTGGCTTCATTGGTGGACCTCTATGTGGTATGAGGGGGGTGTACTTTCGTTCGGTTAACATTTCTCTTAAGGAGGAGGTGGAAATATCTCGATTAGGCCCATGTGTAATTGCTTTGACCCAAAACCCAAAGAAGATCGGTGAAAAAGGGGGGGAAAGAGCGCGTCTACACTTGGAAAAATGTCCCTAAATCCCTAGAGAAAATTAGCTACGGATTTTGTATAAATTTATAATTGTGAAAATTGTTTCTTTGGGAAAGGGAATTTTTTCGTAAGCATTTTTCTTTTTTTTTTTAATATTAAATTATTAATTAAATTTTATTCTATTTTATTTATTTATTTTTCATAAATATTTTTTATTTTGTTTTTTGTTATATACTTTTTTTATATATTTATTATATAATATATATTCTATATATATTTTTTTTATTATATTAATATACATTTTCTATATTATATATTTTTTATATACATTTTTTTTACAGTGCCTTTTGGCCACTAGTCTTGTATTGATTCCAGATTTGTTGTCTGCCCATTTTTATTGCCGCCGACGTCTGGCTCCGTTTTGTCTGCCAAGTTTGGCTCGCAAATCGAAGCATAGCTTAAGGAGGGACCAGAGGGGGTTACAGGGGTATCTCTTTCTGTATATATATATTTATATTAATATAAACATATAGACATGTCTATAGACTTGTTAAGGAGGAAGCCTAGCCAGACCGGTGAGACCTTTAACAGGCAAACACTCGAGGCAAACCCAAAACTCAAATTAATCCACACACATCCGCTTGGCGAGTGCAAAAAGGGTTAATCATAAGCAAGGCAGTCGGGGGTTAAGCAATTCCTCGAAAGCAAAGACAAACATTTCGACTGTTCTCCTCCATGTGTCTTCAGGCTATCTCAGGCTGATAGCGAAGCAGTCCCATCAAAATGAGGCGAAAAAATGCGATAAGCAAGTCACAAATATTTGCAAAAAAAAAAAAAAAAAAAAAAAAAAATATAAATAAAAATAAATAACAGCGAAATGTAAAATAAACAAATAAAACTTTTAAAAATAAAATACAAAACAAACACAAAAATAACAAATAATAAACGTCCGCGCCAAGAACTCATTTTCCTATCGCTAAGCAAATAAATCTTACAAAAAAACGGCGTTAAAATGTAAACATTTCTGTTTAAAAAAAATTCAGTTTGTAAAAAAAATTCTGAAATATTTTTTGCACTCTGGTTAAGCCTTAGGAATTTTTAAGTTATTAATTTTGGAATTTTAATTAGGTGGTTTTAAAAAAATAAATTAGAAATGCCGAGGTTTACTCAAAGAAATATTTTATATTCTCAGAATTCAAAGAAATGAATATAAATATAAATATTAAAAATTAATAATTAATAATTAATAGAATTAATTTAAAATATTAAGGCAACATTTCGATTTTAGCTTTAATTTTAATTTAATTCTTTAAAATTTATAACAATGTAAATATTTAAATATAACAATATAAAAAATATATATATATATATAAAATATATTTAAATATTTAATATATTTAGATATCTATATTTAAATACTATATATTTTCTATATATATTTTTTTAATGTTGTTTTGTATTTATATTTATATTAAAAAATATTGCAAATGCATTTATCTCCCCCTCCCAAATAACCTTAACTATTACTTAAAGCTCTTTAAGCCCTGGCATCATCTCTCAAAATAATCAATATCCAAACACTTTATGCTAATCCAAGCAGCAGCTATATACAAAAATGTATATAAAAACACGACTCCGAAAAACAAGTTTCTCGCATTAGCAAACATCGTATGGCGATTGCAATGCAAATTATTATTATTTAAGGTTGTTATTGTTGTTAGCCGGCTGCTGCCGCTGATTAATAACAATCAATGCCAGTCAATTAAAGCTGAAAACGATTTGGCAAATATCCAAAAACCTGTTTGCTTTCGGGCACCCAGGAGATTCCCAAGAATTTTGTTGAGAGGAACCACTTGTTGGCACTTTTGTTACCTGCAAAACGCTTCAGAGTTTACCCTAAATTTGGTTGTTGTTGGTTGAAATTTTAAGCCAAGAATTTTAGCCCAAGAATTTTGAGGCAAGAATTTTGTTAATGGTCAAAAAAGTAGTTGAAAATATGAATTTAATATTGTTTATTACCATTGGTTTAGTTTTTTGTTTTAATTTTAAACTATATTTCTTATTATAATTGTTTTTTAACTTTTTTTCTTGACTATAAAGATAGAAAGAAAATATATTTAAATATATTTTCAACCTCACAGATTTATAAAACAATCTTATCTTTAAATATACCTTGACTGGTTTTTATTTGTTCAGTTTTTTCCCTATTTTTTCAGTTGCATAACCTTTTAACTTTCTGATTTATATCCCAAGATTATTATTTATTATTTATTTTGGCGCCAATTTTGGACTTACCAATTCGTCTTGTTGGGCCAATGGGCCTCGCCAATTGTGTGGGTGGCCACCGAGTAGCCAAAGTGCGAGTGCTGGTGCCCGAACTTGACAATGGGCAGCCGCTGCTCGAGGTTGAAGCCGGCGCTGAGCCAGGGCAGGATTAGGCACGGGATAATAAGCGGGATAAGGCGCAGCCTCTCTGAGGAAGCCATAGTGACTTGTATTTATCTTTTATTTTTATTACTATATATCCTTTATTTTTTTATGGATATTTTGGTGGAAAAACGCACGTGCACTGGTCACGGGCACCGGCGCGACCTTCAATAAATCCCCGATGAGATAGAGATATATATATAGAGAGAGAGAGAGAGAGAGAGAGAAATAGATCTCGTATCTCCAACAGGTAGTTTTGCGTATTTTCCACGCTGCAGTTTTTCCGTTTTCCTTGGCTGCTTTTCCTCACTCACTCGCGGCACAAGAACAAAAAAATTATTTAACCTACTAGTAGTAACTATGGTTTGTTGTTTTGGCAATTACGTAAACACTGATAAAGATTTGTGGTTTCCTAATCGAACTTTACCGATTCTCACACGTTAGCCGCGGTGGCATAAACAGTGTTGCCAACTTTTCCGGTCGTAACTGGCCTATATTAAAGCAATAATCACATGAAATTCTGATCGTAGCTAAACAAAAAAATAAATAAAAACCTAGAGAAGATTCTTTAATTTCTTCGGTTGGATTTGCCACATTTTTTCGACGCACTCTACTACCAAAAACTATTATTTGTTGCACGTTTCACGATTCATTGGCTAAAATATCTCCGTACGTCGGATCGCTGCCGCTACCAATTTCCAACTGAATAATCTGAATTTCAAGTTTCAGAACGACCAGTGTAGGCAGGCCCGAAGGCAGCTCGGGTAACGCACGAAGCGCTAAACGAAGTGATGGGCAGAGATGCTATTTCCGCTTTTTTTTTTTTTAAAGGGTTGATAAGGGACAATTTTTTAAATTTAAGCTGTTTTTTTAAATATGTATTTTAATATATTTATTACAAGGTGGCTATATAGAATTTATTTTTTAATTAGATTTACATATTTTTAGGCAGTTACAGGATAAAGCATCTGCGTTTTTTTGAATGCGATATTTTTGAAAATTTAAGAAGCTTTTAAAAATCTATATTTTATTATTTTTCTATTATAGGTTCCCTATATTGATATACTTTTAAATTAGATATTAGATAATTTGATATTATTATTAGATATTAGATAACTTGATTAAGTATCTTAAAAAAAAAAAGCTAAATTGGCAACACTGAAAGCCAGTTTATCTCGGAACTGTTTCGGTTGCAGTTGCCGCTCGAAGTTGCGTGTGCCATGCACTGCAAGAAATTTATGCAATCTTATAGTTTATATAAAAAATTGTTTTAATTTCGAAAATTTTTCCTATTAACTAACAATTTATAACAACTTCTGCTTACAACAGGCAGATATTTAAATGTCACTTAAATAATTTTACAAAATCTAACAAAGAGTACCGAAATATTGCAGAACTGAAGGTTACCCTAATTTGTTGCCGTGTAGAAAATCGTTGCGTTCGAAGCTGTGCTTATATGTTCGATCAAACATGTTGCAACAAAAATGAAGCGCGGGTTTTGTGCCACGCAGCTCTTGTCAGCGTAAACGCATATTACGGCCAGCCGATTTCAAAAATCTTGTCTCTCTGTTTACAATTTGTGTAAGTTTTTCACCCAAAATACTTACAACGCTGCCAAAGTATCAAACGATTGTAGAAATTGGTTTGTTTTCTTATGAAAATTTCCAAAAATAAGCAAAAACTTCAGTATTAACAGTTTGGAGATGTTACTTCTACACTTGCAAGTTTTGGAATGAATAATTTCCCAGTTGAACGAGGCCTAGTAGAGTGACAGCTCGAAATTTCCAAGGCCTACTAGGCAGAAAACTGGGAAAAAATCAAGGATGCCTCGATTGAAATTAGCTCAAATTGTAACAAAAAAAAAAACTATAACAAATTTTCTACTCATCTAGTAATCCTTGAAACCCACTGACTGTGGCCTGTCACTTGACCTGCCTGTGTGGTTATAAGAAATATTTCAGTTTCGATTCATTCGTTCTCTAGCAAATAACCCTCTAAGATGGAGTATGCTAACGAAAGATACGATCTATTTAAAATTTGGATTAACAAATATTCACATCAGTTATTTCCATACATTTTTGATAAAATTGTTCAAAAACCCCCCACCACTTCTACAATTTTCGGCATATTCCACTATAAAGTAATACTTTGCCTTCTGGTTGTCCTGGTTCTTGTCGCCATCATTGTGGCAGCCAAGAAGAAGCGTAGTCGCCAACTTGAGAAACTGGAGAATCTATATGAGGAGACATGCAATATGATGACGGAGGCCATGATGCAAGTAAACATGCTACGCGGGCCTATCCAGGAGCACTATCCATTGTGGCAGCTGGGCGAAAGGATCATTTTGATTTCCCGTAGCATGGATGCAATGCATGTTATGTTGGACGAAATAGAAAGCAATGTCATTTTTAACCTCTTTCATACCTAAGCAGTATGCCGAAATATAAAAACAGCGTTTGGAATTTAGAAAATAATTTTTTTTCTTTTAATATGCTGATTGTTCCTTTTTGTTTAAATTTTTTAACCATTCACCAAGCAACGTACTGCTAGAGCATGGTTTAACTGTATAAGGTGGGATTATGTTGAGAACAGCTCTCTTTTACGCTCTCTTCCGCTCGTTATGCTCTCTTTACTTGCAGCTTCAGGGAGAGAAAGAGAGCTAAGAATGACACCACCTCATATAGTTGCAACTTGAAACATGTGCAAGCTTAGGTTTACTGATAAAAATTTAACGGAATCTGTGTTTGTTTTACTGTGAAAATGTGGTGAAGTGAAACGCACAGCTTAGTTTACATATCTAAAATAAAATAGCAATAAATTAACAATTAATTAGTTAATAAGCAGGAATCTCAAATGAGAGTTATGAGTAAAGTAAAAATTAACAAATAATTTTTCGTAATTCTTACACTTTTATTTTCAAATTTATACAATTTTAAATAAATATTTCTAATTTAAAAAATTTAAATAAGTATTTTCAATTTAAAATAAATATTTTCCAATTTTAAAAATTTTAAATAAAAATTTTTTTAATTTAAAAAAATTTTTATAATTTAAAGAATTTTAAATAAATATTTTTAAATTTAAAAAATTGTAAATTAATATTTTCAAATTTAAAAAATGTTAAATAAATATTTTCAAATTTAAAAAATTGTAAATAAATAAATTCAAATTAAAAAAATGTTAGCTAATTTTTACTTAACTAATTTTATTTATTTTGCAGTTTTATTTACTCTTTTATTTGTCAATTTGTATTTTATTCATAAATCTGGTAAACAAAACTAAGCAAAAATGAATTTTTCCCGCATTTTATTCAAACAAAAAAACCTAACCATTCCCCCACAAACGCGGCTTACCATTCACCGGGCAGCGCCGCCATAAACACCTGCGCGCCTGTGCAGGAATTTATTGAAAAAATAAACTCTGCCACAGAGGAGACTGTTTTTCGCCAGACACAGTGGAAAAGCGTCCCAGAGGAAGTAAAACCCGCGAGTAGACTTACTCTAAATAGCCACAAAATAAGAGACAAATTAATTAAGTTAGGCAAAAGTTAAGTTTCAGTGTGACATCGTCCAAAAAAATAGTCAAAAGTTAAAAGTTAAAGTGAAGAGTTCTGTGATTTTTGTGGCTGCAAAAATAAAGGAGTTGCTGCGCGTTCGCCAAAGCTCTTGGCATCGATTTTTTTTGTGGGCATAAGCAACCCCTAGTGGAAAACCAGGAGCAGACATGGCTTATGTGAGTTTTAATAATATACTTATCAAGTTTTTTTTGGTTATTTATAATGTATTCTCCATTCTTGAGCAGCGCTTGAAGGCCACCAAGTGTCCCACGGACGAGCTATCGCTCACCAATCGAGCCATTGTCAGTGTGAGTGACTTTCCCGAGGATGTCAAGTGAGTTTTCTGTGCAAACCAAAAGGTCCAAGACCTTTATTTATACATTTTCCCCATCCGCAGATATGCAGACATCTCTCCTGCTCCGGGACAGCATTTTATTTTTGCCTTGGAGAAGACCGTCGAGGTGCCCAGCGGCTATGTGGGCTTCTCTTTGGTCCAGCGAAAGTGGGCCATGGTCTCCATTAACCAGGAGCTGGAGGTGCGTCCATATCGGTTCGATGCCAGCTCCGATGTCATAACCTGTGTCTCCTTCGAAACGGATTTTCTGCAAAAGAAAACGTAAGATTACATAATGGTCCTTTCACTATAATTTATATAATATATTCTCTATTGATTCCTTAGCGTCTCCCAGGAGCCCTATGACTCGGACCAAATGGCCAAGGAGTTCATCATGCAATTCGCCGGCATGGCTTTGACTGTGGGTCAATCTTTGGTCTTCAATTTCAAGGATAAAAAGCTATTGGGTCTGGCGGTCAAGTCATTGGAGGCCATCGATCCCAAGAGCCTGGGCGAAGGCAAAGAGCCGGCCATGCGCAATGTACGCTTTGGCCGCATCCTCGGCAACACTGTGGTGCAGTTCGAAAAGGCCGAGAACAGCTCCCTGAATTTGCAGGGCAAGAGCAAGGGCAAGGTGGTGCGCCAGTCCATCATTAACCCGGACTGGGACTTTGGCAAGATGGGCATTGGTGGCCTGGACAAGGAGTTCAATTCGATCTTTCGTCGTGCCTTTGCCTCGCGTGTCTTTCCCCCGGAACTCGTGGAGCAGCTGGGCTGCAAGCATGTCAAAGGCATCCTACTCTACGGACCCCCTGGCACGGGCAAGACCCTGATGGCGCGTCAAATTGGAACAATGCTGAATGCCCGAGAGCCAAAAATTGTGAATGGTCCCCAGATCTTGGACAAATATGTGGGTGAATCAGAGGCAAATGTTCGCCGGCTTTTTGCCGAGGCCGAGGAGGAGGAGAAGCGTCTGGGGCCAAACAGTGGCCTGCACATCATCATCTTTGACGAAATCGATGCGATTTGCAAGCAGCGTGGCAGTGTGGCCGGGAATAGCGGTGTCCACGACACCGTCGTCAATCAGCTGCTGACCAAAATCGATGGCGTTGATCAGCTGAACAATATCCTGGTCATTGGCATGACCAATCGTCGAGATATGATTGATGAGGCGCTCCTACGACCAGGTCGCCTTGAAGTCCAAATGGAGATCAGTCTGCCGAATGAGCAGGGACGCGTCCAGATCCTAAATATCCATACGAAACGGATGCGGGACTTTAATAAGATCAATGACGATGTGGACAACAAGGAGATTGCTGCTCTCACCAAGAACTTTAGTGGCGCCGAACTAGAGGGTCTAGTGCGTGCCGCCCAGTCCAGTGCCATGAATCGTCTGATCAAGGCCGATGCCAAGGTCACCGTGGATCCGGAGGCCATGGAAAAGCTAAAGGTTAACCGTGATGATTTCCTACATTCCCTAGAGAATGATATTAAGCCGGCATTTGGCACGGCCCAGGAGATACTCGATAATATGCTGGCTCGTGGTGTCATCAACTGGGGCACCCCGGTTAGTAATCTCCTCGAGGATGGGATGCTCTATGTCCAGCAGGCCAAGGCTCCAGAATCAAGTGGTTTGGTCTCTGTCCTGGTGGCAGGTGCCCCCAATTCGGGCAAGACTGCATTGGCTGCCCAGCTGGCCAAGATGTCGGATTTCCCATTCGTGAAGGTGTGTTCGCCGGAGGACATGGTCGGCTATACAGAGTCGGCCAAGTGTCTGCACATCAGGAAGATCTTTGACGATGCCTATCGCTCCACGCTCAGCTGCATTGTGGTGGACAATGTGGAGCGTCTCCTCGACTATGGCTCCATTGGTCCGCGTTACTCGAATATGACCTTGCAGGCACTGCTGGTGCTGCTCAAGAAACAGCCGCCCAAGGGACGCAAGCTGCTCATTCTGTGTACTTCTAGTAGAAGGTGGGTTTAAGGGGGACTATATATTAGTTTTTAGAGATACTTAAATGATGTAACCTTTCCCAGGGAGGTGTTAGAGGAGATGGAGATGCTGACGGCCTTTACCTCGGTGCTGCATGTGCCCAATCTCTCGCATCCGGAGCATGTCCTGGCCGTGCTCGAGCACACGGATATCTTTAGCAAGGGCGAGATTCAGGCCATTGGCAAGAAGATGGCTGGCAAGCGGTAAAGAAGTTTTGTATTTTATTTATTGATTTTATAATTCCAACTCTTTTTTAATTCCAACTTTTCAGCGTCTTTATTGGCATTAAGAAGCTGCTGGGCCTGATTGACATGGCCAGGCAGACGGAGCCATCGCAGCGGGCCATCAAGTTCCTGTCCAAAATGGAGGAGGAGGGTGGCCTCGACATGGTGGCCAGGCAGTGAAGGAGTTACCTGCGTTTTTGGCCCAAATGCAGTCTCAATTATTAGCTTCTAAGTGGAGATCTTGGGGGCAGGAATCAGAATGAATGAATCTCTCTCCATAAAACACTGCAAACTTATACGAAACATAGACACAGATATATATATATATACATAATATCCAGGCTTCGCGTTGTTGTTTGTTCGGTCCCAGAACCAGTAACAATCCCAGTTCCAGAAGGACATTCCTGTGCTTCTGACTTCCCCCACAGAGCACTATCAAATCTGACAGATATGTGAGATCCGTGACCTGAAGAAGGAGTGAAGAAGGTGGTGAGAGAGCAGAGGCAGGGCGTGAGATACTCAATTACATTTATAAATAACACGTGTAGCTGGCAAAACTCGTTAATATATATATATACACTATATATATATATATGTAATAGCATGATAATCTTTCTCGTTACCTTTAATTTTAGGATTCGCTTCGGAAACGTATTATAATATGATATCAGAGAGAGAGCAGAGTAAGAACACCAAAGTTTTTTGTGAACGTTGTTTATCGGTAATATTAACGAAAACCCAACTAATTAATTGAATATTTATTAAATCCATTATATTGTTAACTTAACCGCCAATGTTATACATCTAATAATATATATATCTCCAAATAAAGACAAAATGATCTCGAACTCCAAGCAAAATGGGATTTCATTAATTAATTAATTTTTTGTATTAATTTTTTATTATTATATTTTTATTTATTTTTTTAAGGCAAACATGAATATTAATAATTTACAGCATTGCAACGGAAACTAAAATTTTAATTTTAATTCCGATAATTTTCCTATCGATCAACGTAAACATCTATAAGATATAATATAAAAAATCAAAATAATAATATATATTCAATATATAATCAATATTTATTTTAATTATTTAGAAATTCTAATATATTTATACATTTTATTATAATATATATATTTTATTAAATTAAATTAAATTCAACTATTTTCAAATATTTCAAAAATTATGTATAGTTTTATTTACTCTAATTTAATTTTATTAGGACTTAAATTAAGCAAAATAATATTCAGCACTGCAACGGAAATAAAAACTTAAAATTCAAATTCCGATAACATAGTTTCCTATCGATCAACCTAATAATTTCGGTCATTTTTTCCATGTTTGGTATTTTTGCAGGTTATTTCGGCTCTTAGGCAACTGGTCACACTTGAGCAACAGCTGTTTTGCCTCCGCTGAACACCCCCACACACATATACATACACACACAAACACACCGACACGCACGTGCTGCGCCGCTGCTGTGCTTTATTTTTTTTCCCGTGGTGTCTGCCGCCTGCATTTGGACATTATTTTCCTTATTTGGCTGGAAGCAGTCGTTTGCTCCGTTCTCTCTCTTGCTCGCGCGCGCTCTCTATCTCTCTCTCTCACACTATGGGCAAGAACAGCAAGCGCAACAACAAAGCCAAACAGCAGCAGCAGCAGCAGCAGCAGGCGCAACAAGCTGCAGCAGCAGCATCCGGCGGAGGGGCTGCATCTTCCAGCAAAAGCAACAACAATAACAACAACAACAAGGAAGAACAAAATGCTTTGGAACGACGCTTCCCCCGGCTAAGCGGAAAGCAGCGAAAAGAACTTAACCAATTGGTTTTGCAACTCTTGGATTTGGTGCAAGTACAGCCGGCGAATCCCAACGAAGAGTGGACCCAATATGTGCAGCTACAGAAGCTACTGGATCGCATCACTCAGCTGGAGGAACCCTTGCAGAAGGCAGTGTGCCCGGAGATTTCCGCTGGCGACGATCAACAGCGATTGGCCAAGGTGGCGGCGTTCAGTGAATGGGCCAAGGCGGCCGGCGTGCAAAGCGAAGGCGTCGAGATAGCCATCTTTCCGGGTTACCAACTGGGCCTACGGGCCACCCGTGACCTGGCCGCCGACGAGCAGGTTCTTAGTGTGCCCCGTAAGCTGATCTTTTCGGAGGAACATCTCCCGGAATCGGATCGCCGGCTCTTCTGCAACTATCCGCTGCTCACGAACTTTAATCTGGCCTACGCCCTGGTCATCGAGAAGGTGCGCGGGGCGGAGAGCGAGTGGCGGCCGTACATTGATCTGCTGCCGGCCAAGTACAATACGGTGCTGTACTTTAGTGTCGCCCAGATGCAGCGACTCCGGGGCACCGCCGCCGGAACGGTGGCGTTGCGGCAGTGCCGCGTGATTGCCCGTCAGTACGCCAACATGTACAAGTGCGCCCACATCCGGCCGGAGGCGAGCAGCAGTGATGGAGGTGGCTCCATGGGTGTCCTCTGCACGCAGCACGGCCTGTGCTATGAGCTGTACAGGTGAGTGGCCCTAGAGGCGATCTTTTTAGGGGGGGAGTTTGCCTGTTTGGTTGGGATGGAAATGAGCTTAGAATTGATTTTACTTGCATTTTTAAGGAGTTTCTCATGGATTGGCATATAGGAGAGTTTTAATTGGCTTTCTAAATTGCTTAAAAAATAATTAATATGGAAATTAAATCAAATTCAAATTCAAATTATTATTTTAATCAAATTAAAATTAAATTAAAATTCAATTTAGGTCAAAATCAAGTCTAAATTTAATTGAATTCAAATAAAAATTAAATCGAATTTAAATTAAATTCAAAATAAATTTAAATTAATATCAATATAAGTTTAAATTAAATACAAATTAATTTTAAATTAAACTCAAATTAAATATAATTTAAATTACATAAAAATCAAAATGTAATATAATTTTAATTAAATTAAATTTAAATCAAATTTAAATCAAAATGTAATCTAAATTAAACTTAATTTAAATTAAATTAAAATCAAAAAATATTAATTAAATTCAAATCTAATTCAAATCAAATTCAAATTAAATTAAATTAAATGTTAATTTAAATTAAACTCAAATCAATTTCAAAACAAATTCAAATAAAATTAAGTAAAATCACATTTAAATCAAATCCAATTGAAATATGAGTTAAATCCTACTCCTAATACCAACCTGCATCGTTTTCTGATTTCCCCCGAACTCTGTAAAGATATTATTTCTCCCCAATAGTATTATCTCTCCCAAGAAATATTACTTTTCAGCTGATTTCTTATTTATTTATTTATTTTCGCTCGCTTTCAATATCTTTTCTCTTTATTTTATAAACAAAAAAGCAAGACTTCAACAGGAAGTCAAGGTTTCTGTTATTACTTAGCTCTCCAGTTTCAGCAATTTCATAGAGTAAACATCCAGAAAAGTAAACTCCTAAAGAATTGCCAAATCCCCCGAATATAGCCAACAAAATATGGTCTTTGTAAGCCATTAATTAGACGCCACCAGCTGGCTCTTCTTCGGAGTACAGATGACCTTCCCCGGTTCGTCGTCTGGCTTCTGGCATGGATCTATTTACGGATCCGCTTCCACTTGGCACGGGGTCGTGGTCGGTTCAGCTGGAGCATGTTGCTCCACTCGGCGGACTCTATTTATAGGAGTGGCGGAATTTCGAGGACAAACTTGGGATGATAGCGAGACCATCGTCCCAGAACCCATTTAAATACATATACTATATAGTATATATACTACTATATCTGTTTGAAAATGTTTGAAAATCTTTGCCACAATTTGTTCTACATTTTATTTCTCAAAAAAATCAAATTGAAACTTATGTACATACATATTTGAGCGTGCTTAAATATATATTTATATTTATTTATATATATTATATATATATATTTATATTCTCTGTGGCCAGATGTTCTTCTACTGCCTAAGGTGTGTGTGAGAGGGGGGCATTGAGAATCGAACAAATAAAGTGTCTTCTGCTCTACAAAATAAAAACACAAGTATTTTTGTTGCTTTTCTTGCAGTGCATTTTAAACTTTGAAACTATTCGTGTTGTTGTTGTAGCTTTTGTTTTTTTTTTTTTTGTGCCCATCTATGACTTTGCCTTGATCTAATTCGAAATTGAATTTTCTTTTTTTTGGTTGCCTCTTTGTTTAAATAGTCTCGAACACAGTTTTTCTCTTTCCTTTAATATTTTTTATTGTCCTCATAAATGGTTTTACTTTTCTTCTTCTCTTGGTTCTCTCTTTTTTCCCGAATTTTAATATATATTCGACTTTTTGGCCAAGATTCTGTTTCTATTTTCTTGTGTGTTTCCGATTATTTGTGTGTGTTGTTTTTTTGTTTGTTTTGTGCTTAAGAAACCCATTTTATGATTTAGTTGAAAGAGTGTGCCTTTAGTTGTTGGTTTTATACTCGTAATTTAGATTCTAGTTAGTTGGAAACGATAGTTTGCCGAGCTTAGAGACTAGCAGACAGTGCGCGACATGATCGTGGGTTGCTTTAAATCAATAGATTTAAAAAAAAACAGCTAAAATAAATAAGATTTAGTTCTTAACTTGTTTGTCTTTCTTCTTTCTCTGACAAAAATAGCTCTCTCTTTCTTTAAAAGATATTATTGAGAGAGCGTTACATTTGACTCTCTGGGTGTAAGCTCTCAACCGAATTGCTTCCTCTCTCTGCAGGATGATCTTCAAGGAGCGTAAGTTCTTACTCTCATTGTGCTGTGCTAGCATTTAATGAAGTATCTCTCGTTTTTCTATACTTTCTTGTTGAAGATGTTATTAAGAGAGCGTTAATTTTTTACTTGAGAGAGCTTTAATGTACATTTTAAGTCAGCGATTAGCACAACGTTCTCTCGTTCTACTTCTCTTTCTCACTCTCTCTGGATGATCCAGATGATCTTGGAGAAGTGTAACTTCTTTTCTCTCTTCATCTTCGCTCTCTATTTTTTTTAAGATGGTATTGAGAGACCAAACATTTTCATATTGCAACAAAATTCCTCTCTCTCTCTCTAAAATTCTCTAGAAGGAGTAATTATTTGTTAGCTCTCGAAATTCGAGCTCTCAACTGAAAAGCTCTCTTTATAAATTCAAGATTTTTGTTGGGAAATTAAAAGAAAGCTTACAGATTTTCCAAACTCTATTTCTTATACTCAAAAATTAAGAATTATAATTATATAATATTTCCTTTGTTCTTATTTCTTTTTTCTTAATTTTTAAACCAACCCTTGGCCATGCCACGCACTCTCCTAAATGTATTTCTTGTATCTTTTCTTTTGTTAGTTTTACTTTTCTCTCACAGAATGTTCCTCTAAATCGACCTCAAAAAAAAAAACTCCACCTTTCGTTTCACCTGCTCTTAAACTAATTAATCGACTAACTTGAGCTCCTTGGCCTTTATAGGGTATGACTGGGGCGGGAGTGTGTGTGATGTAGTGTGATGTGGTGTGTACATTTATATAAAACTTGGCCTAAACAACGGTCTATTTGTTCCTAGAGGAGCTATATAGCCTATAGCCTATTGCCTAATTGTCAAAGGACTTGCGCAGCGTGTCGAATAGGTATTCCTGCACCTCTGGCGAATTGGGATCCATGGTGTTGAGCTTCTGATGGGCACTGCGCAGTACACGTACTCCTCCTACTCCTCCTCCACTAAGCTGCTGTACCTCCAACGATGCTGATGATGATGATGAAGTCGCCGCTGCAGCCGCCGCTCCTGACGTTGTGCCTGTTGAAATATTCGTATTCGTGTTGGCGGTTAGGGAGGTGGCGGTGGTGGTGCTCAAGGTGGCCGAACCATCGCCACGTCCAAAGAGCAGCGAAGAACTCTGACGCTGCTGCAGTTGATGGACAGGCGTACAGCAGGCCACCGATGTGGAGATGCTGGCAATGCCTGGACTCGACCCCGAGCCTATGACAAGCTCCTCCATGTGCTGGCGCATCGAGGAGCGACGCGATGGTTGAACCATCTGCGGCAGCTTGCTCTTCATCGCATTGTAAGTCCGGAGATAGCTGCTCTTGCGGCGACGCTGCTGCTTCCACCGACAGACGACAAAGACCACCAGAAAGGTGGCCAGGGCTGTGATGACTATCGCCGAGCTGGCCACTATGGCCGAACGGACACCGGACGGCATGCTGGCGTACAGGCTGCTCAAATGCTGCTGGGACACCGCCGATGTGGCAGCCGCTGCCGCTGGACTGCGATGGAAACCGGGTCCGGATAGCTCCAAGTCCAGGAGATCATGAGCACGGGCCACCTCATTCTCAATCTCATCGATCACATCGTTGTTTACCGGTTCCAAACGGCTGTTGTCCACCATCGAGGAGGAGGAGGAGTTGCTGCTGCCATAGGGACTCACGCTGAGATCAATGTCAATGCTAGCCTCTGGCTCGGGATTGCTGTCCGATGAGGATTCCTGGGAACTGGAACTTGAACTCCCATCCAGCAGGAGACGCGGCGGCGGCAGGAAGTAGGGATTATTACGCTCTTCCGTGGCCGTGGCCAGCGAGGCGAGGGCCAGGGTCTTCCAGGAGGGAAAGAAGCCCAGAGATTTCTCGCCTCGCTGATTGATGGATATGGTCCCAGTGCCCACACCGATGGTGGCCGATGAGGAGGAGGATGCCGGTGCATAGGCAGGACCTGCAAGGATAATGTTTAACACCGCAGAAGAGGAATGTGAAAAGAGAGAGAGAGGGGGAGAGCGAGATGTAGTTTGTGGCAGGGCAGCAGGAACAACAAAAAAAATCTTTGAACAATTTGTAGAGTAAAGATCTTTATTTTTATAGATCGTTTTCATTTATAAAAAAAATCTAAGCCTAGTTTTCATGGAGTATTTTGATTGTTAATCAACTATTTGTTAGGTTTTTTAAACTTTTATTTAATGTTTCAAGTGTAGAGGTAAGAGAAGAAAGAGTAGGGTTCGTCGTAGGTCATTGCCTAATTCTGGTAGCACATTTTTACGCATTTTTAAGAAACGAATGTTAAGGGTTTCTGGTTTCTCACTTATATTGTCATATAATACTTTTTGAATGATATATTTAAGATTGACTTTGTATATAGCGTTTAGGGCGAAGACTATAATTTGGCAATTCTTTTTAACGCTTTCTGGGCATTATAACTTCAATCAGAAGCTTGAAAAAGAGTGAAGAAGTCATTTTCGACCCCCTAAACCATATATCTTCTTGATCAGCATGAACAGGCGAATCTTTCTAGACATTTTTGGAAGAAAAAAAAAATTTCAATTTTTTTCAAAATTTGATAAGGGGTACCATCATTAAAATTTGCAATAATGGCCAAAATTTTCGATTTCTTATTCGGTATGCATTTTTGTTAAGCTATTAAAAACTAGCATAGAACTGTTTTCCGAAGTGAATTTAAAGCATTTTCGGCTTAGTTATAAATTTTAAAAATTTTAATTTTTCACAAAAATGATAAAAAAAAAATTTTTTTAACACTTTTAAAAATTATGAAAAATTAAAATTAAAATATAAAAAAATAAATAATAATAATAAAATAAAAAAAAAAAACTTTATTCAGTATGCAGATTTAATATTATTAATCAAAACTAACTCAGAAATATTTTCCATATGAAATTCTTTTCATTTTTAACTTAATTATGATTTCTTTAATTTTAAATGTATTACATTTATTAATTTTAGAATTTTCCGAATTGAGTTTGATGCTTTTTTAGCTTCGTTATAAATATTTTAAACTTTGCTTTGTCAAAAAATAAAATTATCATATAAAAATATCGATTAGAATGTTTTTTTCAAGATGCCAAAAAATATTGAGCAATTGATTAAATTTATGTTTATTCTAATTCCGAATTTTTACCATTTAAATGTTCCTTAAAAAGTGAAAAAATGTGCTAGCAGAGTTGGGCATTAAATAGTGTTTGTTCAGTTGTATTGCCTAGTACTTATTCAAGTGTATGAAGATTATTTAAAGTTTGGGTCTAGAGTTTTTTCAAGGGTTTGGACCCTGCTCTTTGACCCGCTCCTTGACCTGAACCTAACTCCCCTGCTCCTGCCACTGCTCCTGCACCTGCACCTGCTCCTGCACCTGCCACTGCTCTTGCACCTGCTCTTGCCACTGCTCCTGCCCCTGCCTTTGCCACTACCATTCCCGCCCCCCTGGATCTCTGCTGACGCTGGCGCTGTTGGCGCAGCAGCAAGGCCGTTATACCTCGATTCCCGCTCGATGGCTTGACCACTTCGTCATTGGGCTCAATGTCAATGATGGAGGTGAAGTAGCTGGAGCCCTGCGAGTCCGTCTTTATCTCGTCGGGCTTGACGCTCTTCAGGTCCATCAGATTGAAGTGTGGGAAATTCTCAAAGGCGGTGACAATGTCCATGTTGTCCTGCAGCAGCACCTTCTGCCCGGGATACAGCCGCGAGTGCTCATCGCCGCCGCTCACAATGGTGGACAGATGAAGCTGGCTAGACCCACGCTTTCGATGCTCGATTAGCTCCTCCAAAGTCATGTTGCGTTGCTCCAGAACCTTGAACAAGCGATTGCCCGAACGTCGATCCTCGATGAGCTCCAGGAGATCGGTGCGATCGTCCACATCGTCAATGATGTTGAGTTGCTGTGGTGGTTTGCCAGGCAAGGGAAAAGCTGGTGAAGGTGGCTCAAAGGAGCCAGAGGAGGCAGAGGGTGCTGGAGCAATGGCAGAGGGAGCAGGCGGAGAAGCTGGAGGTGCCGGGACACGGGTGTGATGCGTGTGACTCTCAACTTCATCAAAAAAGTTCTCTAGCTCATCGTCGCCATCGTTGATCTCCTCGCTGCTTCGATTTACAGGAGATTCTCTTCCTGGTGTAGCTGCTGCTGTGGAGCTGGGCTGTTCCAGCTCCTCCACACTGTCCAACACATTGCGATCGTAGTGACCTATAAAGTTGTCCTTTAGACGCTTCTGGTTCTGCTCCTTGATGCTGGAGTTGCGCAGGCGATAGCGGGGATTGCCGCCAGGAGGAAGAGGGTGAGAAGGTGAAGGTGAAGGAGAGGGTGAAGGTGAGGGTGAGGATGAAGGAGATGGAGCGGGAGAAGCTGAAGGTGCCTCCGTTGGAGAACTGCTCTCCCCAGAATCCGCCTGCTCTTCGGGCTCTTCGTCTGGCTCTTGCTGGGAATTGCCTTCCTCTGGCTCTTGCTCCTGATCCTGATCCTGCTCTGGCTGTTCCTCTGCCTGTTGCTGGTCCTGCTCCTTTTCCTGCTCCTGCTCCTTATCCTGCTCTTCGTTCTCCTCCTCGCTCTGCTCCTGACTACTAGCCGCCGTGGTTGTGGAGTAAACTGTGCTGGTCTCCGCCTCCTGAGTGGTGCTTGCCGCCGCCGTCGTTGTCGTAGGAGTGCTCACCATGACCTTAAAGAGTCCTGGTGGCTTTAAAGTGGACCTTAGATGCTGTCTCTTCTTGTAGAGCGGCACTCGAGTGGTGGTTGAAGTGCTGATGCTGCTGCTGCTGCTAGTGGGAACTGTGGTGGTGCTGCTAGAGCTGCGTCTTGTGGTGCTGCTCTCCCGCGAAGAGCTGCCAAAGAGCTTCAAGCGCTGCAAAGCGCTGGTATATTTCCCCTTGTTCTTCTCCTCCTCATTCCCAGAGCTGGTGGAGGTGGTGGTATAGGCTGCTGGCAATCGCCGTACACCCTGCTTATTCAGCTGTATGGGTGACTTTCGGTAGCCCACGGCGGAGGAGGAGGAGGAGGTCTCCGCTGGCGAGGAGTATGTGGAGGCGGGTGCCACCGCTGTGGTCTGCAAAGCCAGCAAAGCATTCTGCTTGCCCTTGAGGAGATCATCCAGGGAGAGGTTCTTTTGCTGCAGAATCTCGCTGAGACTCAGGCCACCGGAATTCTTGAGGATATTCTTTAGATCCACCGATGTCTTGGTGGCCACCACCGGCTCGGTTAGGACTGTGGGTGTGGGTTCTTTCTTGGCCTGGCCATAGGGACGACGGTAGGCCTTGCTGCTGGTTGCCTGGGCCGTGGCATCCGTGGGCTCTGCCACTCGCTGGCGCTGCTTCTCTCGATCACGCTCTAGGGCCGCCATGGGTTCCCTCACCAGCGGTTGCTTGCGTCGCCGCAGGGCATCTGCATCATCCTCGACATGGCCGCGCCAGTAAGCAGAGCCGGAGCCGGAATTGGAACTGGAATCGGCGGAGTCCTCTTCGTTGGCGCCCATGGTGGCCAGCGGAAGTTGAGGGCGACGCTTCCGTTTGCGTGCACCCAGCTGGGCAATGCGTCGACGGTTGGTTCCACTTCCACTTCCACTTGCACTTCCGCTGCCATTGCCATCACCAGATCCCTTGCCATCGTCCACAATCAGGGAGACACCCGTTTGAAGGAGCTGCCAGGGAAGAGAGAAAGAGAGGAGGGTTTGTTAGACACTGAGAGAAAGACTTAATATATTTTAAAATGTTTATACCCCTAAAAAGTATTATAATTTCATTTAGAATCCTCAAAAGCAATGAAGGACCCGCTACCGACCCCATAAACCATATATATTTGTCGGAGATATCCGTTATTTAATTTAACCGTAGTCGAGCCAGCGAGTTCTGTTCGCCTGCGCAGTCAAATCGAATCTGTCATCACGCCACTTTTCCTGTGGCCCTTTCACCTTTTCTTACTTTTCACTCAGATGTCATTCCTAGACAATCTCAAGCTGTCTCTCTCATTCTCTCCTATTGTTGCGACAGACGAACAGACCTCACTCAGTAACACTCCTGTTACCGACTCAACTGTCATTGCGCCTGCGCGCCAGCGACACCTACAGGGCTACCAATACCTGAGCATGCCGAATAACTCTGTTGCCATAGCAACAAGCTTTCCAAATTTGCACTTAGCAACCAACTCGCCGACACGGCCATCCTGACAATTCACGCGTCCTCGCGTGACGTGTCTTCTAATAGCTCTAAACATAACTGTCATTTATCATTCTCTCTTTTTTTCTCTCTTTGGTCTCAACTTAACATTTCATTTTATCTGTTTTATTCATGTCAAATAAGCTTTACTTTTATTTCTTCTCGCCACTTCATTCTCCTCTCGTACCAAATCTGTATCTTCTTTCTCTGCTCGTACCACAACTCTTACTCAACATCTCTTCATCAATTTATACAGGCTCTTGCTGCACACTTTGCAACGCTCACACGCACCTCTTGCGTCACGGTCTCTCTGGACCCTCACAGCCTTATAAATGATTCCACCAACGAGTGCCTCAGTCGGCGATCTCTCGCTTACACTTCTAGTGTCTTCAAATGTTAGTTTGGCAGGATAACCTTTCGAAACCATAGAGTACAAGCTCTTTTCGTATTTCAAAAGGCTCCGCTTCACATATTCTGACCATAGGAATAAAGTAGGCCCCGTTTCATGTGATCCGACACGGCCTTCCTGACAAATCACACGTCCTCGTGTGTTAACTTTAAATCACAGTATTCTAAAATTTCGGTACTCGTTACATTTTATTGTCAACAAACATTTCATTAATTTTCTAAACATAAGTATTGAGGCATTTAGACAAAATAAGCATCTTGGTTTCATGATAACATAACAAATTACATCTTCATTTTAATCATAATTTACAATTCAGACTTCTCTAATTACATAGCTTTATCAACTGGTGTATTTCCTTTTACACCCACATACTGACCCCCGCCATAACAATTCCTTCTGTTATGGTGCGGTCTCCACTGACCCCGCCCCCATAACAATTCCTTCTGTTATGGTGCGGTCTCCACTGACCCCCGCCATAACAATTCCTTCTGTTATGGTGCGGTCTTTATATCCCCCTCTTGGGATTCCAAGGCATCAACCGTGCCATCCATATCATCATTCCCCACATGGGAATCAGACGCATCTCCACTTGAGTCGTCTAAATCTTTATCAATCAACGTGATTGCTTATTTGTCTATTTGGCAATGCCCTCAAAAACTCATGCGCATACTTATAAGTTCTTTTGCTTGTTAAGGATTTTAAAATGTACCGATTTCCATCTTCATTTCTTTATCTCTTTCTTTCTCCTCTCTCTCATTCGTAACAATTTCAATTTCCAATTTATCCATTTTAAGTTAATCTTGCCTTAACAAAATTGTGCTCTTACTTCCATAATTTTACCGAACCGGCATAACGTAACTTTAAATTTCTCTTTCTTTATACTTTTCTCTGTGTCATGTGGTGGTATCAAGCCCAAAGGGTGGGTCCGATTGGCATCTCTTAAGGGCTTGCATTGGTTGCACTACTAACTGTGCAGTTCGCCGCAAGTTGCACCCCGCCAAGAGCATCTTCCCATCACCTCTGCGGTCCTGGTATCCAGCCAGATGACTACTTTACAACTTTACACATGATACAATTTTCAACAATCTTTAAACTTAGTCATTTCCAACAATTCTGATAAATATTGCTGAGTCTATTTTTTCCAATCCAAACACATAACGGATTTATAACCTTGATTAATAACTATCCAACAAAATTTAAGGGACACTACTGGCAGATAACATTGCCTCACACCTCTCTGTATTCTTTAAAATCCCTCTTCGTAACTCAAGTTAATTTCAATTATTTTTAGTTGTTTATAAACTATACCAATAAATCCTGAATCCTGAAGTTGATCAGTCGGTCATTTGAGATTTCCATTCTAAGTTCAGACGTTTTTCTGTCAATTTATTTTTATTTATCGGAGTTAAATCAGTCATGTGAATTCTGGACACAAAAAGAATTCCACAATTGCCTTGCGCTTTCTCTTCCTCTACTCTATGATGCACTTCAGTTAATTTTTTTTTTTTGTTTAGAAATGATTACATCTGCAATAAGTATAGACTACAAACTCTCATCTGAGCAAACAATGCCAAAAATGTCAGAATAATTGCACGCCAACCAATATTTCCAATTCATACAAAGGCTACTTGGACTCCACAAGACACATAGTTCTACCAATATATCCACCAACATAAGGGTCTCCATTAATTAGGTGTATTAGCATTGGACCATATCCACAAGAGCTTATATCTGTTTCAAATTTGATCAGATGTTTCGAACCCACAAATAACGATTACAGGCTCATTTGTAATAATATTAAAAACGTTCGTTCCAATTTCTGAATATCGTCATTTCACTTAAAGATACTTGAAGCCGAAGAATCTGTCTCATGATCTGAGAAAATCGAGGCACACGTTTTTGAAAATAAGGCACCAATTCAATAAATGGTCTTACGACGGTCTCTTAATTGCACCGATTAAAAGGACGGACCTTTAACGTAAGGATTTTCTAGGAATTGGGTCTGATTTCTCCACCGCACACCTCATAGCTCAGATACTGCGTAGTAGGTTCAAGAAACCCACATTTGGTAACGTTAAATGGCAACTCTGGTACAGTCAACACATTTAATACAACCTTCAGCCTTCGGAAAGCCTTTTCTTCCGAGTTTGCCATGATTAACATGCATCTATGTAAACTATCGCAAATAATCATGATAAATTCCAAACGCCTTAACAATTGCATGATGAAGGTAGAAGATGCACTCTTCAAACCAAACGGCACGGCAGACCAAACAGACGGCAACTCGTAATTTTTTTAAATTAATTATTTTTCAACAGAAACATTTTTCCTTCACAGGGTCTGACATAAGCGGCAAAGGCCACTGTCCGAAACCATTTTCGAATATTGCTTCCGATAGTCTAAGCACAACCTATCGTAGCACAGGGCTCGCCAATGGGAAGGCAGATGTGCAAACAACACTGCAATCAAACACATCTCTATTCCCATCTTTTAGCCAATTCAGCTCCCAAATCAAAGAATAATTGGAAAGGGCTCACCCGATACTGTCACTGTTGAATCACACAAATCAACTCGCTTCTACATGCAGCTGATGCTGCCGCTCGCAGCCGCTGATACCCATCTCGTGCACACAGATGCAATGTGACCACCGTTATCACGCCTGAAGTGCGTCACTCCAGCTCTCCGCACTTCAGCCGCAGTTCCGCCAGTGTGCTGTTGTTGTTGTCTTCCATTCTTCCCCAAATTTTCTGGCCGACACTGATGACACTTGCAACCGTCCGGCTCAACACGCGACCAGTGCATTTGACTGCCTATCACGACTCCGGTGTCTCGCACCACGCGGCTGCGCAAGCCTTCGATGCGCCACTGAATTTAATATCGACCGAAAATCACTTTATCAGAATGCCCGCGAGGCTATGGTGAATCCCACTTCTGATGTCGGAGATATCCGTTATTTAATTTAACCGTAGTCGAGCCAGCGAGTTCTGTTCGCCTGCGCAGTCAAATCGAATCTGTCATCACGCCACTTTTCCTGTGGCCCTTTCACCTTTTCTTACTTTTCACTCAGATGTCATTCCTAGACAATCTCAAGCTGTCTCTCTCATTCTCTCCTATTGTTGCGACAGACGAACAGACCTCACTCAGTAACACTCCTGTTACCGACTCAACTGTCATTGCGCCTGCGCGCCAGCGACACCTACAGGGCTACCAATACCTGAGCATGCCGAATAACTCTGTTGCCATAGCAACAAGCTTTCCAAATTTGCACTTAGCAACCAACTCGCCGACATATTCTTGATCAGCATTCACAGGCGAATATTTCTAGACATTTTCGGAAGAAAAAATTTTTTTTTTTAATTTTTTCCAAAATTTGATAAGGGGTACCATCATTAAAATTTGCAAAAATGGCCAAAATTTTCGATTTTAAATTCGGTATGCAGTTTTGTTAAGCTATTAAAAACTAGCATAAAACTGCTTTCCGAATTGAATTTGAGGCTTTTGTTGATTTTTTATAATATTTTTAAACTTTGATTTGTCCAGAAAATTATCATTTGAAAATATCGATAAAAATCGATCTTCTTGAAGGGTATTACGATTTTAGTCAAGAAAGGAGTCATTTCCTACCTCACAAACCATATATATTCTTGATCAGCATTAACAGACATGTCTTTCTAGCCTTGAAACATATTTTTGGGAATTTTATTGATATATAAAATATAATATATAATATATATAATTTTCCCAAGTGTATCAAACAGGCTTTCTTGCATGTTTTTGCACTTGTGAGTGGAATGTTGATGGATGAGCCCGCCTTAGCCACCGCCGCTACCAACTGATTGATGGAATCTATAAATATTTGGCCAGCTCTTTGCCAAATCCTTATTGACTTTCAAGATGTGTGAGAGTGTGTGGGTGTATGGAAAAAGCCAAGCTCATTTTGGATTATTGACATCTAATCAAATGTCTGTTATTTATTGAGGAAAAAACAAGGGTCCAGGAGGTCTGCGGGGAGAAGGCGCCTCATCTGTGGGTGTTTATTAATTTTATTTAATATTAATTAACTTTATAAGAATTCCCTCGGAGGCTTAAAGCTTAAAAGACAAAGAAAGAAGGCGGCTTGCGGATTAAGTTTATAGGGCGAATGCTTGGGGTATCCGTTTCCGGTATCCTTTTGTCTTTACGTAATTAATTTTCAGGATAAAGAGATAAAGATGCAGGCCGGAGTGCATATCCTGCCAGCAGTATGAATAATATATAGAAGAGTGTGTATGTGTGCTGTAAAGGATGTTTTCCTTTGATTAACTGCCATAACCCAGCATCACATCATCATCATCATCCTCCTCATCGTCATCGTCAATCTAATCAGACTAATGCAGATTGGGCATCCTTCCATTAGAGCACTTTGCGGTTTTACCTTTGACCCACAAACATACGTATGTACGTCCTCGGAAGCAGAAATAATTAACCGGAAAAGCCAGCCAGAGGATAATCCAGAAGCCAGGCTAAATATCTCATAAAATGCCTAAAGGATAATTCAATAAAAAACTCACAAACAATGCAGAAAACAATAAGGAACACGAAGGCAATCATTGAAAAATACAAATAGAAAAAAAAAAAAAGGAAAATAGAGAACAATAAAAAATCCTTGCATAAGTCCCGGAAAATCGAATAGTAGTAGTTGTAGGGAAAATCGAGGAAATTCGAGAATGCAGCCCCCGACCATTACACGCATTTCTCTCACGTCATTTGCCGTGACAACTCTCTTTCTCTTTCTCCCCCTCTATCTCCTTCTCTGTCTCCCTCTCTATCGCCTTCTCTCTCTCATCTGTAGTGTCTCTGTTTGTTTTTTTTTTTCCCCCCTGTTTTGGTCCCGTTTTCAATTTGGCCTAAGTTTCTGCTGGTTTTTCCTGCTGAATTGGCAAAGGAATGCAGGACACACAGGACGAAGGACCAGCTACGAGTATGCATGCATAATAAAGACGACACAAGACAGCCGAAGGAAATAAAAGAGACATAAGAGAGAGAGCCAGGGCAATCGGATTTGTATCGGTAAGAGTCTCAACTTGTCCAGGATATAAATCAGACATCAAGGAAACAAAAGAAATTTAAATCCAAAGAAAAGCTAGTCGTATGATTAAATGATGACAAATTACTTGTATTATCATATTTGAACATCACATTTTCTCTCTGTGTATGGCATTTTTCGGCATCCTCTCAAAGGCTCGAATATTCCAAAGGATATTATTTTTGTGACATGTAATGACAGGGCAAAGTTTGCCCAGCTACAGGTCACACGGAAAACCACTGAGTTGGGGCCGGGTCGGGGCGTGTGTTTGGAATGCGAGAGTCACTTGAAAGTGTCAGCCCCCAAGACGAAGAGTTCATTAAATCCGTCTGGCTGGCACTCACTTCCGGGCAGGTGACAGGTGAGATGCAATGCACGCACACACACACACACATGGCGACATGGCTTCGGTTTGGCATCCCTTTATGGCTGTCAAAGGCAGCCGACATTGACGTTGGGTTGGCCTTCAAAAAGGGTTGCCAGTTGCCAGTTGCCGGTTGGCAGTTTCCCTTTTTCTTGATTTTTGTATGATTCCCATCGATTAATGTCAATTGGAATCGATAAATAGATCAAGTACAGTTGCCTCAACTGCAGCTAGCAAAAGTGTGACAGTTGGTTTGTGTTGTGTTGAAAAAACAACAAAAAACTAAGCAAGAAAGAGTAATGTTAAACTGGGAAAATAAATACTATCGATAGCTACTTTAAAATCCTTACAGAATAGGTACAGTTGCCATTATTAATACAATCGAAAAATATAAAAATTTCTACAAAATTGGTACAGTTGCCGCGGATTCCAGTTTGCTTTTTCTTATTTAAATTAATTTTCTCTTCGAACTATTTAATAAAAAACAAATAAGGCAAAATGCCAAATAAAAAGAGAGAAAATATTAAATATACATTAACTTTTTGGCCAAGGTACAGTCCCGTTAACACCCTAGTGCCTTCTCCAACACTGGCACTTATTACTTTTAATAGAAAAAAATATTCTGGGCAACTTTTTTTTAGCAGGAAAGACATAACAGCCAATACAAAGGCTTCCCAAAAAGTTGAAAACTTTTCCCCCTTGGACTTTCCTTGAGTTCTTGTTATTTTATTTATTTTTTGGTAATTCCAGTAACCAGAAATAAATATATATATATATATAGCTAACAGAGGAAAAAGTGAAAAACTTGAAGCTTTCTATTGCTGCTTTTGCTGCTTCTTGTTCATGGTGATTTCTAACAAAGTGAGTGGCGAATTCCCCTTCAGCCCCACGCCCCGCTCTTAACCACTTCAAACAAGTTGCTGCTTTTCATAATTAAATTGAAAAATTTATGCACAATTAAATGAAAAAGTTTTCTTTGTGGTCAGGCAGCAGGCAGCAGCATCAGCAACCGCAGCAAAGCGCAGAAAAAGAAGCCAAAAAATAGAAAAGCTTTAAAAAAGAGCATAGGGACGGACGAGTAGGTACTGGTTACTTGCGGCAGAGCAATACCAGGCACATATTATTATTAATTATTTGATAATATGGTTAAAATAGAGTATAACTTGTCTGAAATTTATTTAATAAATAAATTCATAAAAATGCAACAGGGCAGCTAAGCCAAAAATGTATTAATTTTGAATTCGAAAGAATTAATTTGTTAGTTTTTATGAAGTTATTGATTATTATTGTTATTTAATATTATTATCATTTATTATTATTTTTATTAATATTATTTATTATTATTATCCGGCTTGTTTGGGATTTTAGGCCCTCAAGAAGACCTAAAATAAATGCATTTTTCAAATCGATATTTATCATTATTTTTATATGCCAATTTTTTGTACAAAACAAAGTTTAAAAATTCCCTAACTAAGCCAAAAAAGCCTCAAATTCAATTCGGAAAGCAGTTTTATGCTAGTTTTTAATAGCTGAACAAAACTGCATACCGAATTTAAAATCGAAAATTTTGGCCATTTTTGCAAATTTTAATGATGGTACCCCTTATCAAATTTTGAAAAAAATTGAAATTTTTTTTTTTCTTCCAAACATGTCTAGAACGATTGGCCTGTTAATGCTGATCAAGAATATATATGGTTTAGGGGGTCGGAAATGAGTCCTTCACTAAAAAAAATAGTAAAACCCTTCAAGGAGATCGGAAATATTTCAATTTTTAAATCGTTTTTATTTGAGGTATTATTATTAATTAATTTATTTATTTAATATAATTTATATATATTTTCTAATAAATATAAATACAGTTTATTTATATTATTACTTAATTGTATTTTATTATCATTATATATTATTTATTTATATTTCCAGGTGGGCCGTCTCCACGGTAATGACCCGCCAGAATCTAGTGCCCCGCGAAATGCAGGCCATCGACGAGGCGGAGCTGAACCAGCTGCCCATATCGGCCCTGATTCCGTACTGGGATATGGCCAATCACAGGCCGGGCAAGATCACCTCCTTCTATGACAGCGGAACGCGTCAGATGGACTGTACCGCCCAGGAGGAGTTCAAGGCGGGCGAGCAGTTCTTTATCTACTACGGAGATCGTTCCAATGCCGATCTTCTCGTGCACAATGGGTGAGCCTTAAAAAATATTTAATATAAATTTAAATAAACCATTTCCCTCGCTAGCTTTGTGGACCTGAACAACCGCAAGGATTATGTGAAGATCCGCTTGGGTTTGAGTCCCACAGATCCGCTGGCGGAGCAGCGTGCCCGCATCCTGGCCAAGCTGAATATCGATCGCAAGGCGGAGCTGCGTGTGCTGCCCGCTCCGGATTTTATATCCGGCGAACTGCTGGCCTTCGTCCGGGTCTTCAACATGAGTGCCGAGCAGCTGGATCACTGGCACAGCGATTTGGAGCGGGCTGGGGATCTGCTGCACATTGACTGTGCTTTGGAGACGGACCATGAGACGCGCACCTGGCAGTATCTGTATCAGCGTTTGAAGCTGCTCCTGGGCGTCTTTGAGGTCACTTTAAAGGAGGCCGACGAGGTGGAGCTGCTGTCGCAGCTGAAGATTAAGGAGGCTGCGGGCGAGGCAGCGGCTGGTCACGAGATTGACCTGATGCTGTTGGAGTATCGCCGCCTGGAGAGGAGCATCCTGGCGGGAGCTCTACAATATGCTCAGGAGCATTGCAAGGTATGAAAGGGATTTCATTACTCCCCTTCCCCTTTGCCTACCCCTTTAACCCCCCCAAAAGAAGCACAATTCAAGTGGCCATAGTTCAGTCTAGAAATTAGCTTTAAACTTGATTTTTTTTTCTTTTTTTTTATGTAAGATTCATAATCTTTAGTTAAATTATTTAAACCGATCTTTTAGTCGTGAGTTTTTTGCAGTTGAAAACCAAAAGGAAGCCAAGACCTCATCAGTTTTTATATATATATTTGATATATACTCTTGATATTCAGTTAAAAAACTGTGTACGTCTAGTTTTGTCCCTTATTTTAAGTTTTCTTCTACTTTTTTTTTAAGCCGCTTAATTGTTTAATGTTTGTTTATATTTTTATAATTTTATTACTTATAATAACCAGTTGAAATATTTTTGAAAAATTTATAAATGAAGTCAACAAAGCAAAAAGGATTAAAATAAATTATTCTTTAAAGAAAAATGCAGCTTTTCCTAATTTCCTTTGCCTTTTGATCTGTCTTAAAATTGGTAAAATAAATCCGATTTGCGGTATTATTACCAAGGGCTTGGGCGTTTGTCACTTAGATTCATTTAATTGCCAATAACTAATTGACTTGCCCAGCTGTGAGAGCCTCAAAAACCAATCAATTTGTAAAACCAATCGCCCCGCACACACACATACACAGTCACCCACTCCATTGCCCCCACCCCCCTTGTGCTGGCGAATGCCTTTTGGCCATTGTCTGTATATGTAGAATATTTCGATTGTGTGCGTGTGTCAGAGATCAAGCGTGAGTCGAGGAAGAGAGACCGAGAGAGCTGCTCACGAGAGGAAACGGAAATACAAGAATAATGCCCTTGACAGGATTACAAATCCTAAACCAAATCCTTTTCATCTCTTCAAATCAATCTTTAATCTATAAGAAATGTTTTAATTATTTTTCAAAAATAAATAAATAGTAATATAAAGGAACCAAGCTGCCAGGCAAAACACGCAGCCATCCCTGGTTGCGTTGGGGGAATCGAAGGATGGCGCTGGCAGGATTGAACCCGAGAACGACAACAATGCACTCCAAATTGCTGCTCCAAGTGGTGTTAATTATGGGGACGCGTTGGCAGGCGCTGGGCTCCCCCGCGATTTTGATTCTGCCGATGGCGACAATGATGATGATGATGCCGGTTACGATGTTGTGTTGATGATACTCGGTGGGTGGGAAAAGTCAAGGGGGGAAAACTACGTAGGGGAAACACTTTCGAAAATGTCATTAAAATGGTTCGAAAGCCTCCGCCTCCACAACCGCCGCCGGCATTGCCTCCTCCTGACATTTGATTTGACACTCGAATAGCTATTTTCCGTATTCACAATTCGCGTCGTCCCTCCCCCCCGCCTTTCCACATTTCCCACAGAGCTAGCACTCAATTTTCACGCTCGTCGGAAAAGTGATTGCCAAAGAGCAGGCGGAGCAGGAGAGAGGAACGATGTTTGGCCAGTTGATTGAAATATTCGAAATACATATTCGAAATGAGAGACGGAAACGGGAAACTGGGTCGCATCGATATCGCTTAGTCGCATTTATCGTTATCGATTGGCAGCGCCAGCTTTTCCTAATTGCCATCCAACAAATTTTGCTTTCTGTTCTCGTCCAAGCAATTAGCAAATGACAAATGTCGCCCCCAAAAAACACCACGGTCCCCCCCCCATTACCATGTGCAAAACGGCAGCCACAAACTTAAGCTGCTTAAAATGTACAATTGCAACATGGGTCATAAATGTGATGGCCAAAGGGACAAGCTGAAACCAGCAAAAATATGGTAAGTATGCCTTTTTCTCCCAATATTTTTAATATAGCTAGGTGAGCGTGGCTCAAGCTGGGCTCCCAGGATTTTCCCGCTTTTCCACACATGCACTCTGCCAGCGGCAATTGCTTGAGGAGGCGCTAATAATGGGTGCAGGTTGCCCTTGCGGAAGCAGTGGGGCCAAAAGGATATTTATAAAAATAAAATGAAAATGAATAAAAAATAAAATAAAACATATTTAGAGTGTTTTCTATGGTCTAAAAAGATGTTGTGGTAAGTATTTTGGTTGATGGTAAGTACCTAAATTTTTGTAGATATTTTTTAGATTTTTCTAGATATTTTTTTTTTTTGATTTTGAAAGATTTTTTAGATTTATTTTAGATTTTTTAGATTTTTTTAACGACTTTTTTAGATTTTTTACATTTTTTAAGATTATTTTTTAGATTTTTTAGATTTTTTTAAAGACTTTTTTAGATTTTTTACATTTTTTAAGATTTTTTTTAGATTTTTTAAAGATTTTTTTAAGTTTTTTTTAGATTTTTTAAACATATTTTTGAAAATTAACGGCCAAACTCGAATTTAAATGTAACGTCCAGTTTCAGTGTGCCCAGGTGCATTTAGCAACATTTTAGACAGAAATTAACAATATGGTCACATCTGGTTTGAGTCTGTGCTTACTCCAAGTTCAATGGTTCGAAACTTGGACTTTTTATAACAGTTTATACCAGTTTTCAGTTGCTTGCTGCTGGTTTCTGTTCGCCTGGTATCCCAGTTTGGGAAACGGCCAATTTGTATGGAAAATTTCAGAAATTTGGATGGGCTGCTATAGGGATGTTGTTGTAAAAAGGTTGTTGTTGCCATCAAGCTGTTGTTGTCGGCAACAAATAGATATAAACGCATAAAATTAAATATAACAGTTTATACCAATTATTAATTTTGCCCAAAACTTTTTATAACAGTTTATACCAGTTTTCAGTTGCTTGCTGCTGGTTTCTGTTCGCCTGGTATCCCAGTTTGGGAAACGGCCAATTTGAAAAATTTTGCTCACTAGCATTAGTGATGCTCATTAGCATCAGTGATGCTCATCTAGCTATATTGCAATATTGGGAGGCTAGAAACTGGGCTGTGCATGACTGATGCTCATCTATATATTCAGCTATATTTCAATACTGGGAGAAAATAGCTAGATGAGCATCACTGGCAGTTAGTGAGATGCCTATAATTTATAAAAAACCCTCATAACTCGGCCAAAAACGCATGAAATTCAATTCGGAAAGCTGTTCTGAGTTGCCTTTTCTAAGCTTAACAAAACTGCATCACTGACAGTTAGTGCGATGCCATTTTGTCCCAATAATGCAAAATAGCTAGACGAGCATCACTGACAGTTAGTGCGATGCCATTTTGTCCCAATAATGCAAATAGCTAGATGAGCATCACTGGCAGTTAGTGAGATGCCATTTTGTCCCAATAATGCAAAATAGCTAGATGAGCATCACTGGCAGTTAGTGAGATGCCATTTTGTCCCAATAATGCAAAATAGCTAGATGAGCATCACTGACAGTTAGCGAGATGCCATTTTGTCCCAATAATGAAAAATAGCTAGATGAGCATCACTGACAGTTAGTGCGATGCCATTTTGTCCCAATAATGCAAAATAGCTAGATGAGCATCACTGACAGTTAGTGCGATGCCATTTTGTCCCAATAATGCAAATAGCTAGATGAGCATCACTGGCAGTTAGTGAGATGCCATTTTGTCCCAATAATGCAAAATAGCTAGATGAGCATCACTGACAGTTAGTGAGATGCCATTTTGTCCCAATAATGCAAAATAGCTAGATGAGCATCACTGACAGTTAGTGCGATGCCATTTTGTCCCAATAATGCAAAATAGCTAGATGAGCATCACTGGCAGTTAGTGAGATGCCACTTTGTGCCAATAATGCAAAATAGCTAGATGAGCATCACTGACAGTTAGTGCGATGCCATTTTGTCCCAATAATGCAAAATAGCTAGATGAGCATCACTGGCAGTTAGTGCGATGCCATTTTATCCCAATAATGCAAATTAGCTAGATGAGCATCACTGGCAACTAGTGAGATAGATGCCATTTTCTACCAATAATGCAAAAAAAATAGCTAGATGAGCATCACTGATGCACTTGGGCATCACTGCCATTAAACCCCCCAATATTGAAATATAGCCAGATGAGCATCACTGATGCACTTGGGCATCACTGCCATTAAACCCCCCAATATTGAAATATAGCCAGATGAGCATCACTGATGCAAGTGAGCAAAATTTTTCATTCAATTTGGCCGTTTTCCAAACTGGGGTAACAGGCGAACAGAAATCAGCAGCAAGCAACTGAAAACTGGTATAAACTGTTATAAAAAGTTTTGGGCAAACTTAATAATAATTGGTATAAACTGTTATATTTAATTTTATGCGTTTATACCTATTTGTTGGCGACAACAACAGCTTGATGGCAACAACAACCTTTTTACAACAACATCCCTACAGCAGCCCAACCAAATTTCTGAAATTTTCCATACAAATTGGCCGTTTCCCAAACTGGGATACCAGGCGAACAGAAACCAGCAGCAAGCAACTGAAAACTGGTATAAACTGTTATAAAAAGTCCAAGTTTCGAACCATTGATCTTGGAGTAAGCACAGACTCAAACCAGATGTGACCATATTGTTAATTTCTGTCTAAAATGTTGCTAAATGCACCTGGGCACACTGAAACTGGACGTTACATTTAAATTCGAGTTTGGCCGTTAATTTTCAAAAATATGTTTAAAAAATCTAAAAAAAAACTAAAAAAATCTAAAAAAATGTAAAAAAATCGAAAAAAATCTAAAAAAATCTTAAAAAAAACTAAAAAAATCTTTAAAAATATCTAAAAAATCTAAAATAAATCTAAAAAAATCTTTCAAAATCAAAAAAAAAAATATCTAGAAAAATCTAAAAAATATCTACAAAAATTTAGGTACTTACCATCAACCAAAATACTTACCACAACATCTTTTTAGACCATAGAAAACACTCTAAATATGTTTTATTTTATTTTTTATTTATTTTCATTTTATTTTTATAAATATCCTTTTGGCCCCACTGTTTCCGCAAGGGCAACCTGCACCCATTATTAGCGCCTCCTCAAGCAATTGCCGCTGGCAGAGTGCATGTGTGGAAAAGCGGGAAAATCCTGGGGAAAAGGGAGCCCAGCTTGAGCCACGGTCACCTAGCTATATTAAAAATATTGGGAGAAAAAGGCATACTTACCATATTTTTGCTGGTTTCAGCTTGTCCCTTTGGCCATCATATTTATGACCCATGTTGCAATTGTACATTTTAAGCAGCTTAAGTTTGTGGCTGCCGTTTTGTACAATTGTTAAGGGGGGGGCACTGTGGTGTTTTTTGGGAAGCGACAACACAAAACAAAATTTGTTGGATGGCAATTAGGAAAAGCTGGCGCTGCCAATTGATAACGATAAATGCGACTAAGCGATATCGATGCGAACCAGTTTCCCGTTTCCGTCTCTCATTTCGAATATTTCAATCATAAAATTCGGCGGGTATTTTATTTGTATTTTTCTGAATTAAAAAATTAA